ATTTTTTTTTGCCCCATAAATTATTTATTTTACTTAAACTTTAGCATTTGCCACATATAACTGTAAAACAGTAAATTGTGTTTCATTGCACTAATCTAAAATTAAATGTCTGCAGACATCCAGGCATCAGAACGGCCTCTGGATTTTCTATGTAATGTAACGATACATGATTCGTATATAGTGCTCACCTAGACACTATTTAAGTGTTCATTATCAGACAAATTTGCTGAGATACCAAATTCTGGATAAATAACTTTTGGCATAATGTTAAATAATTTATTTAAGAATGTACTAACAAGATAAAAGAAAAACAGAATAAAATAGTAGGGTAACCTGGGCATGACAGATCCAACGCATGGGTCAGGGTAAAATGGACATGTCACCAACGTCAATGGGTATTCCCTACATAAATGTAGGGGACTCATTGAGATGTTCACCATGTCCACCCTGACCACACCCGAGGACCTGTCAGGTCACGAAAGAATAATCAAAGAAACGGGAAAGACTTGACCATAATTAAAATTTATATAGTCAAATTTTTTTCCAACTTTGAACCCAAAGTTCAGGGGAGGGCGCAAAAGTTACAAAAAATTGAGTGACCACTCAATTTATATGAGAATTTTACGGGAAATATTGTGGTATGATTTATNTGACCACTCAATTTATATGAGAATTTTACGGGAAATATTGTGGTATGATTTATTTTTAATTTTAGAGAAATTCGGGGGGGTTATTCCAAAATTCCTCCAATTTTAGAAAAAAAAAAAAAAAAAAACTAGGTCCTATTTTTTACTTTACCAGGATACTCGCTCATATATTACTATGGTTCGAAAGATTTACACCCTGTATAATTATAATTATAGATGTCAAACAAATTATTAAATCATAATGAAAGTGTATAAAATTAAAGTTTGATTTTATAGAAAATTGTATCATATTTTATTTAGTACAATTATTAGTTTGAATTGGTTTCGACTTAATCAAATTAGTTGCTTGTAAATCGCCGCTTATAGCTATGTAACAAAAAGCACCTCCATCAGCTGGAGTTGGTTGACCTGCTAAAAATTCATTGACATCATTTTGAGATGGTATGGTTAATGGAAAGCTATCTTTTATCTTATCCATAGCTTTATTTAATGTTTCCAATGGTCCGTCAGGTGGTGGATTCTCGAAAGGTCCGGTTAATCGTAGATCATATAAATAACCCAATAGTGCCATCATATAATCGTTTCGTACACCTCTCATTTTTAAACATTCCGTTTCTATGTTCACGTTACAGAGCTTTTGTAACCATTTAATGAGTTTCGTTTTATCTGGTATGGAAGTTATCAATGCAGCATAAGGCCGAGCAACATGAAGTAAATACTGAAACTCCCAATCGAGCAAAGTCCTGAGCATTACTTTTTTTGATTTTTGTATTTTTTTTTTTTCATTACTATCTATTATTCGTTGCTTTTCTTCTTCTGACATATTTTCGGTAATAATTTCTTCGCTATCTTCTTCCTCTCGTGAACATTCAGCATGCATAGAACAGACCGCAATTACTGTAACTTCGTCTTTTAACAATTCTTCCAACATCGTGTCCATCTCCCAGGTTGCTGGTGGCATCATTGGAATAGCAAAACTCTCTGGTGCCTTTAATGGCCCGTTTGGAGGAGGTGTTTTAAAAACACCATACATTTCATCATTCAGTATTGAAAGAATCATAGTGAAAAGATATCTATTACGTTTAGTTTTGAAAAATTCAGTTGCATACTCAGCAGCGTAGAGTTTTCTAATCCATGGTATTACCTTTTCTCTGTCTTTTTCTTTACTCAAATTTGGGGCAAATTTCTTCAACATAGCTGTATAATAAACGAGTTCGATATTTATAGAATCGCCATTCTCAATACATACAATAGGTTCGTTTGAGACTATACGTGACGATCTATGAGTTAAACCAGTTTTTATACTTACATTATCAGTTACTTGACTATCATTGTCATCATGATTCATTTTATTTCATTTATTAGTTTAAAAATTATGTTATTTGATTTTATAAATTAGCTATAAATTGATTTACGTAAAAAATAAATAAGAACTATTATGGATAAAAAATAAGCCAGTATCAACGATATTTCGATAAAATAATAATTAATATTAAATTACAAGTAACATTTATAATCATTGAATGTATTAATTAAATAACAAAAGAAAAAAAAAAGGTAGCACAGTGGGGTCGAGGCACAGTGTAGACAAGGCATAGATGGGACAAGTTTAGATGATATTTGACAGTGATTAAAATCACTATCATAAGAAACGCTTCGATGCAAATCTGTAGATAGTGTTTCATTTAGAGAAATTGGTGGATTATTTCAAAAGCAACATCAACTCTTATTTCTTTAATTATATCCTGATTAGTAGTTCTTTGATTTTAAAATATAATATATGAATAAATACTAATTATAATTATTAAATTTAGTATGAAATTGATATTCAATAATTTAATATTGTAATTTAAACGGAGAAATTATAAAAATAATAAAGAAGTTGTATTTTGCTTTATTTTTACGTGTATAAAAATTTAAAGGGCTTGATACAATAAATTTCAATAAAAACTGTTTGTTACTATAAATAAATGCACTGAACTACAAGGAACTTTCATCAGTAACAAAAATATACCATTCTAAATCAACTTTTTGCGATGTTTTCAAATCTGCAATTAGACTTTTTCTTTCACTTCTAAGTTTTAATATTATTAAAAATTAGTATTATTTACATATAACAAATTCGCATTGAATCTAAAAAATTGGCTATTTAAGCTAATTCAAATTTAAAAATTACTTTTTCAACTTTAAAAAAGTAAAAAAAATTTAATAAGTTTAATTTCTTATGTCTTATAAACTTTATTCTATGTCAATTAAATTATATAATATTCATAAAAGTCAATATATTTTCCTAATAAGATATTTTAAAATAAAATAAAATACAAAACCTAGAATTTTAATAGAAAAATAGCATATTTTTGAATACAGTAGCTATTTGCGCATAGAAGATAGGTCGTCGGGACAAATTTTTTTTTTCATTTTATAGTACATAAAATAAGCTTTAATTTGATATATGTATAAAGGACGCAGTGTTTCCGAAACATTTTCAAAAATTAAGTTGAAAAAGTTAGTTTTTGAAAAAATGTTGCAATTTTAAATCCCCCTTGAGAGCAGAATAAGTGTTAGATTTTCAAAAAAAAAAATGATATAAAAAAAAAAACAATTTTTTATACATTAATTCAAATTTCTATAACATTGTATTATCATGGTTACATAGGTCAATAAACAAATATTTTGTTAATAATTAATTGGAAAAACAATAAATATATCATAATGAACTATTAATATTCGTATAGGACGTAAGATACGAAATTTGTTGTTCGTAACAATTCTAGATTCGATGCGAAATTGAGAAGTAATGAATTTTACCATGATTTATTTATTTTTGTGTCAGTCACTACTTTTTCTCAGCTCTCATTGGATTGATTTTTTCAACGATATGTCAAAGATCACAAATCGTATCTAATTGAAGACATTACACACATAATCCTCCAAAAAACTACGATTTTTAAAATCGGTTTATTTAGACATTTTTTTCTAAAAATTGCCAAAACTAATTGAAAAATGAATAAATCAAAATAATCATTTTTTATATTGAAACCTTAAGTAATTACCTTTTGTTTGATAAAATAATTTTGAAAATATAATCTTTAATCCTTTATCTGTCCACAAGGGGGGATTCAAAATAGTAACTTTTTTAGAGAAAAACTTTTTTTAATTCTAACTTTTTCAACTTAAGTTTTAAAATTGTTCCGGTAAGACAGTGTCTTTAAAACATATGTCAAATTAAAGCATATGTTACGTACTAAAGTTAAAAAAAAAATTGTCCCGACGACCCTATCTTCTTTATCCAAGTGGCTCCTGTAGTTAAAAAACATACTATTTTTATGTTCAAATTATATTTTGTTTATTTTAAAGTACCTTATAAGGGTTTGCCATGTAATGAGTCTTCTAATAAATATAAGATTTACATGAATCTAACTTACATTAAATATAAATTTTTACTGATTTTGATTATTTTGCCTCTTCAATGTTAAGAAAATCTTTTTGAATTTTTGAAAACTTGAAAATTTGTATAAAAAATAAAACTTAAAGCAGTAAAAAATTTTCGGGAATACTGCATCTTTTAAATATATGTTAAAATAATGTTTACATTATGTACTTTCAGTTAAAAAAAAAATTGTACCTATGACCTATTTTTTATGTAAATACTATCTACAGATTTGCATCGAATCGTTCTTATGATCATGATTTTAATCACTGTTAGATATAATCTATACTTGTCCCAACTATGCAACGACGCCACTTTACTATCGTTTTTATCACGACTTTTTTAATGCGCAGTTAACAGCAATAACTGATAACGATAATGAACTGATAAAAATAAAATTAAAAGATTGCTACGATCCCAACGTTACTTAGTAAGTATTATTATAATTTATATTTACTACTTATGTTGATTGTGATGTATTTTGTGATTATATTTCAAGTTTAACAATTTTTATAAGATTATAAAATAAATAAATAGATCAAAGTCAGTGTTCTTATTATATTTTTTTATAATAAATGATCAAGCTAGCTGGACACAAGGTAAGAAATTATATTTCTAAGCATGTCATAAAAAAATTAAAGATAGATTTAAAATAAGCCATAAATAATATTTATCGTGGGAATAATAGAATTAACTTCTAAACGTCCATAATTAAAAAAAAAAATATTGTTAACTATTTCATCATCATTCTAATGGCTATTGTAGGTGTATAACGTAAATATTTTATTTATATTTATCATTCACATAAAAAATAATTCAGCTTGGCGCCCAACAATCGGACAGTTGCGTTTTACTCAAATACACATTGTTTCCTACATATACTACAATCGATAAAAATATCAAGAGTCATAAAATTCTCCCCTAGAACAACTCCCTATTTCATAGTAGAATTAACATTATTCGAGTTAGTGTCATCCGTATGTAATTTTCCTTCACTTTATATTTTACGACAAACCATATGCATTCAATTCATTTTAACAAAAAGATCCATGATCATACACTGTATATTTTTATTTTTACCTTGTAGCTAAACAAATTTAACTAACTCATTCATCCTATCTTATCCCCATATCCTATCTCTTTTATTCATGATAAACCATCGCTAATTATATATTTAACACTTGATACTACTTTTACTTTTCATTATGATCATATCATTCATTCCCATATAATATATACTACTTTTTTCATGACTAAATATTATAATCTTAATTTATAACCTTAATAATAACTACTTTAATAACTCTCTTTTTTTTTATGACGCTTTTGCATTTAATATCACTGTGTATCCGTACGGAGTCGTGTTTAGTTAATTTTATGCGTAACGTGTGATAAATATTTGTTAAAAATGACTGGTCTATTGACGAGAAATAAATCAAAATGTTTATTTTTTGGAGATGCTAAAGAACTTAGTAATAATGTATTACCAACTTATGAAGACGTTATGCAATATTATTTGTATGTAAAACATCAACTTGAACCCGATATTACTTCAAAAGAGCCAAGTGTAAGTTCTATAGCTGAAATTGTAACAACTAACATAGAAAATATATAGCACAAAGCATCAATTCCAATAGTATCACACATGCGAGTATTACAATTAATTAAAACGTACCATGACAAGTATCGGAATATACTAAAGTCAGCGAAGGGCAAGCAATATTATGAGACGTATAAAAAAAAGTGGAAAAACTGAAGCAAGAAGTAGTCTTTTTAACATTGCGGCATGTAAATTTGTTAATTTTAGTACTTGTACAATATAATTTTATAATAATATAATTTTTCGAGATTTTTCACATATTATGTAAAAAATCTCAAAAAATTCCAAATATTGAACAAATATTTATTAAAGATCAAAGAACAACCAGAAAAATGATTATATCTTTAGTTGACATTGTTGTAATGTGGATCTTTAATTATTATTTTAATAATGAACTCATAATACATTAAAAACTATGTTACTTTAATTTTTATATACTGACAAAAAAATGTTTAAAGACTTATATAATATAATATGAATGATGTATTTTCATGTAAGTATGGTCACACAATTGATAACATTAACAGTGCATGTATACTGCAATATACATTTCAACTACTAAAAAGCTTAAAAAAAAAAAAAAAAAAGCTATAAGAAAAGAAGTTGATGCAAAGCGAATTGAAAGACATGAGTTATTAGAAACTTATGATAAATCCAATTTAGATAATGTTAATATTAAATTTTATGAATCTGTTGAAATTAATGATAAATATAATAATTCTGACGTAGATTTTACAATAACTTCAAAACCATCAACGTCGTCATCTGATATAAAAAAAAATCTCAGATGAGACTTAAGTTATCGGACCTATCTTTGACTTACGATAAAATTGGAATTTCAGATAGATCAGCTGCTGAAATTGCAAGTGCTGTATTTCAGAATATTGGTATTATTTCAGTCGATAATAAAAACAGTGTTGTAGATAGAATGAAAGTCCGAAAAGCAAGAGAAAAAAACGTTTAGATTTACAAAAACTAGAAAATGAACTAATTTTAGGATTATATTTTGATGGACGTAAAGATAAAACTATAACAAATCATCAAGAGGGAACTAAATATTATAGAAAAATGATCACTGCAGAACATATATCACTTATTCAAGAACCAGGATCGAAATACATTGGTCATACAACACTAACAAGCGGATCTGCTTTAGAAATTAAAGACCATTTCCCTTTATACAGGGGGGGTGCAAACCTTTTAAAATGCGTATAGAAAGTAGAACTTTTTCAACTTAACTTTTGAAAATGTTCCGGAAAGACTGACACTTTTATATATATCTTAAATTAAAGCTTATGTAATATACTTTAATTTGAAA